CCGCCGCTACTGCCGCCGCTGCGTCTCCTCGGCGCCCGCCGCGTCCCCGCGCGCCCTCCCGCGGCACCCCGCGCTCCCCGGCCGACCTTCCCGGGCGCGAGCCGCCAGAGGCGAGCCCCGCCTCCTCGCACCTCCGGCCAGCCGGCCAATGGGGAGCCAGGCCGGGGCGGGGCCGGCGCGGGGCTCGCCCCACCTCCCTCAACGGGGCGGGGCGAGGAGAGCGGCGGCGGGGGCGGCGGCGGCGGGAAGGGGGAGGGTGGCCGGTGGCTTCCTCGCCTGCAGGGACGTGCGGCCCGGGACGGACACCTGCAGGCCCCGCGCTGCCCCACAGGGGGAAGGGAGGAACCGAGTGGGTGTCGGGTGGGGTGGGGGGAGGGGACGCAGCCGGTTCTTCTTGCCGCCGAATACGGCTCACAGAGCGTGAACGCCGCGCTCACCGTACCCTTACGCAGTCGGCGCCCGGCGCCGGGGAGCTGTCCGCCCCGGTGGTTCTGAACCAGGCGCTGCGGTAACTCCAGGTAGGCGGCGGGCCCGAGGGTCACAATTCCCGCGGCTGTTGCTGCTGCTGCGGCTTCCGTGGTCCACAGCGAGCTGCGCCGCGAGCTCTTATAAGCACAAGGGCTGTCTGGCTTCCGGGAATCTTGCTCTAATAAGGAGCCGGCCTCGCTGGTCCATTTCTGGGGTCAGATGTTAACTCAGTCTCGCTTCAGTACCCCTGTAATTTGAGGGAGGGCAGTATCTGGTTTTAGTCATTCCTCTCGTCTTTGACGTTTGATATCTTTTAAACTCAAAATATTCATTACCTCCGAAATATTGATTACTCTAACACCAGTATTGCAACATCTTCACTCATACATTTGACGCACTCGTCTATTAAATTATAGCACAATCACCCAGGCTTCGGCGCTCTGATAAACAATAGAACAGAAAGGTTTCACCCACCCCTCTGCCTTGGCCAGGAGTGTGTGGCACTCATTCTGTTGATGGCGATACATATGATCAGTCTGTTTCTTGCTCCTCTCTCCCTCCCACAATAGTGCAATAAGTCACAATGATGGTAATTGGGCCATAAAGTCACTTGCACTCTGAAATAAAATAAATCCACAGAGATGTGAAGGGCTTACAAATCCTACTGGGTATTAACTAAATAATGATTACACGAAAGGGAAAGGCATGTTGCTATTTCTAAGCATGCATAAAGGATGAAGATGTTAGGACCACCAACTAACCACCAACTAAGGTCTAACAGCAGGCGGGCAGCTTCGGTTCTTGCCCTCCCCTCTCGAGCCCCTGTTTCCTCCTCCCAAACCAGAGCCTCTGTACCGGCAAGAATTCGTGATAATCACTGAAAGACAATATAAAAAAAAAAAGGGAAGGGATTCACATGACATTGCTTTTTATATGGATTGGCTGATATATGTGAAATTGTTTGCAAAGCATTTCAACTCCGTTGGAAGAATTATTCCACAGAAGAGAACTGGTTTCCAACATATCTATATACAGTGCTAACCAGCGAAAAATTTTGAAGAAGAGTACATGCAGATAATCAGACTTGAAAAGGTCAATGACACACAGATTGAAGATGCAAAATAAGACTCCATTGCTCAAGTTCAAATTCTGCAATTCGGAATTCTGTAATACTCCTGTAAGATGTAATGATATCTACTAAAAAAAAAATTGAATGGAATCTAGAGAGTGAAATCTATAGGCAAGAATTCTGTCTCTTCTCCAGGTAGCCAATGAAAAAGTCAGCAGCTAAACTGAGTGTGTGTTTTAAAAAACAAAGGCTTGCTTTGTTACCCATAGAAGGCACAAAGTAGAGCAGTAACAGTTACAAGGATGGACATAGTCTTCCATTATCCCAAATTTGCATTTGTATGGTGCTAATCCCAAAGAAACCATAGAGCCTTTGTGCTTATGAGCTCCCAGTGCTTGTAGCTCAACAGAATGCAACATTGGGGAGAGGATTATATGGTCACAAAAGAAACAGACTGAGAAATCAAATTGTTATCCAAACCCTTGCCAAACAAAAATTAGATGGCTATGTCAGTTTAGAATCAAGTGTTTAGCAACCAAGTGTTAATTTGTTTAAGCAAGTGTTTCCAACCAAGAGCAGTAAAAATACTTCAGCCTTTTAAAAACAGGTGGCTGATTCTCCTTGTGGAAAGAGGGGAGGAAAGGGAAGAAAACAACTGGAAAGCAAAAAACCAAAAAATTTTCCCATCTGCTTGGCAACCTCATACTTGATGCTACCATTGTGGTTCTACATCATTAACTCTTATAAGTAATGTTATCTGTGAGGATAATTCTAGAACCAGTATTATACTGAGATCTTTTAACTTTGAGTCATTTAAATACATCTTCCAAATAATATAACTTTGTAATATAATTAAATAATTTTAGATTAATATTGAGCTTTTGGTTCATAGTCTGCACAAAAAGCTCCAGGGTAGTAAGAGCAATCCATTTCTGTAGTAGATTCCTTAGGTTTTGTTAAGCCAGAGGTTCATGCTTTTATGAAACTGTGGCTAATAGCCATATTTCACTGAATCTTGGCCTCCTTTCCTGGTATGTTTTAATAAGAAAGAAAAAATGCTACCATTCAAACTATGATACAATGTTTTCTTTTCATTAATATTTTAATTTAAATGTATTGAAAAAGTTCTTTGGTAAGTATTTAGACGGATTTTTTTTTAAGATTTTATTTATTTGACAGAGAGAGACACAGAGAAAGAGGGAACACGAGCAGGGGGAGTGGGAGAGGGAGAAGCAGGTTCCCTGCCGAGCAGGGAGCCAGATGAATCCCAGGACCCTGGGATCATGACCGGAGTGGAAGGCAGACACTCAATGACTGAGCCACCCAGGCGCCCCATATTTAGACAGATTTTTATCATGTATCGCCTAATGCGTACATAAAAATAAGTAAAATAGCTGGTTAATGTTTTTCCAGAACTTCACGTTCAGAATCTCATTATTCTTATTTACTTTCTAACTGAGAGTTTTCAATGCCCAGATTTTTCCCACAATATGTTCCTCTGAGCCACCCAGAGCTTCTGTCATGCTACACTTAAAAAATTTTTATTATTGACATATAGCTGACATTCAGTGTTAAATTAGTTTCAGGTGTACAACATAGTGATTTGACAATTCTATACATTACTCAGTGCTTACCACCGTAAGTGTATCATTGCCTGTCACCATACAAACTTATTACAATATTATTGACTATATTCCCAGTGCTGTACTTTTCATCTCCAGATGAGAACAGGAAATTATTTTATTTTATAACAGGAAATTTGTACCTCTTAATCCCCTTCACCTATTTCACCCATCGCCCATCCACCTTCCCTCCCACAACAACCAGTTTGTTCTTTGTTTTTTAAGAGTCTGTTTCTGCTTTTTTCTTTGTTCATTTGTTTCATTTTTTAGATTCTATATAGAAGTGAAATCATATGGTATTTGCCTTTCTTGGTCTGACTTATTTCACTTAGCATAATATCTTCTGGATCCACCCATGTTGTCACAAATGGCAAGATCTCATTCTTTTTTATAGCTGGGTAATATTCCATTACATATATATACCATATCTTTATCCATTCATCCCCTGATGGGCACTTGGATTGCTTCCATATCTTGGTTATTGTAAATAATGCTGCAATAAACCTAGGAGTGCATATATCTTTTTGAATCAAGAGTTTTTATTTCCTTTGGGTAAATACCAAATAGTAGAATTATTGAAGCATATGGTTGTTCTATTTTTAATTTTTTGAGGAACCTCCATATTGTTTTCCACAGTGGTTGCATTCCTACTAACAGGGCACAGGGGTTCCTTTTTCTCCACATCCTGGCCAACACTTGTTCTTTCTTGTCTTTTCAATACTAGCCAGTCTGACAGATATAAGGTTATAGATGTCCCTGTGGTTCTGATTTTATTTTCATGATGACTAGTGATATTGAGCATCTTCTCACGTTTCTGTTGGACCTCTGTATGTATTTTCTGGAAAAATGTCTATTTAGGTCCTCTGCCCATTTTTCAATTGGGTTATATGTTGGGTTTTTTTGGGGGGGGTTGGTGTTCTTTACATATTTTGGCTATTAATCCTTTATTAGATTTATCATTCACGACTATCTTCTCCCATTCCGTATGTTCCCTTTTGGTTTTGTTGTTGGTTTCCTTTACTGTGCAAAAGCTTTTTATTTTGATGTAGTCCTAATAGTTTATTTTTGCTTTTGTTTCTTTTGGCTGAGCAGACATATCCACGATTATGTTGCTAAAGCCAATCTCCAAGAGATTACTGCCTATTCTCTTTTAGGAGTTTTATGGTTTCACATCTCATATTTATTTATTTTTTTAAGTAAGCTCTACACCCAACGTGGGACTTGAACTCACCACCTCAAGATCAAGAGTCTCATGCTCTATGGACTGAGCCAGCAAGGCACCCCTCAGATCTCACATTTAGATCTTTAATCCATTTTGAGTGTCTCTATGTGTATGGTGAAAGAATGTGGTCTAGTTTCATTCTTTTGCATGTAGCTGTCCAGTTTTCCCAACACTGTTTTTGAAGAGACTTTTTCCCGTTACATATTCTTGCCTCCTTTGTCGAAGATTAATTGACCATGTAATTGTGTATTTATTTCTGGGCTCTCTATCCTGTTTCCATTGATTTATGTGTCTATTTTTCTGCCAGTACCCTCCTGTTTTGATTCCTATAGCTTTGTAGTATATCTTGAAATCTGAGATAGTGATACCTCCAGCTTTGTTGCTCTTTCTCAAGATTGC